TGTTAGTTCTCACTCCTGAGAAAGGCTTTTACCGCTACAGTGACTTATTTGTCCAGGACCACGGGGCTGTTCACGACATGGGCACTTCAGGGTTGAACCCAGGGTGATCCTGAGCAAACCAGAACCACTGGCTGTCACCCTACACTCTGCCCACAGTCTTCTCTTGTTTTCTTCCTCTTCAGTCAGTGAGAGAACCCAGATCAGCCTATTTGGTTCACACTCACGATTGAGTAGAACTCCTGTAGGGCATTTGTTTCCTCTAGTCATCCACAACGAACAGAGACGTAAGGAACAATAAGACAATCATTCAACTCCTATATTTTCTCAGAATGGGGACTCTTTTAAAAATGTCCAGGATATAACGCTTCAACGACTCCAACAAATATACAAATGAATCTAAATCTTGATGCCACATTCCATGTCTCGTTAACAAAAAATTAGAAGGGCCAGACAGCCCCTCACAGAGCCAATTCTATTCCTTCCAGCTCAGCTGCAGGAGTTTCTGAGGATGAGGAAATGGGCCACACACAAGCAAGGGGTGGGAGCTGGCAAGATCTCTGCGCCCTCCCCCCAAGCTATCTGCTGGACCCAAGCTCTAGGAAGAAAAGCTTTGTGAAAAGACTTCTGGCTTCACTAAGACACATTAAAGAATTAATTATAAAGTAAAGCTGAAGGAGAAAATTAATTTTAGAAACACAAGAGGTTACAATTTTTTTTTTCCTGGAGATGGGGGAGGAAACAGTTATTTTCGTTTTCATCCTGGGGGCACAAGCTGGGAGCTGTCCAGTCGATAACCTGGCCATCAGAACAAGGTTTGTAATTAAAAGGTCAGTGACCTGGAAAGCCAGGGCCCCACTCCCAGAGCTTCTCAGTAATGACGGAGCTATTAAATTAAGACTGTTATGAAATCAATGCTAAAAAAGCTTTCATGGTAACGAGATTCCATTCAAGGACATGCAAACTACCTCATGAAATGGACGTAAATGATAAAAAAAAGAAAAGTAATAAAAGAGAGTTAAATTGAAATCTGTGTAAGAATTTACTCCCCTTTGAAATACTCTACAGAGAAGCCCTTCACCTCTAGCCCACTACCAAGGTTGGGACCGTCAGGTTTCTTCAAGTTCATTTCCAGCAAGGAGGCGGTTTTGCTACTGGGGTTTCTGCTTCCAGGAACAGTAGAAGGATAAGATCTAGTTTCATCTTTTAGAATGAGAAAGTATGGTGGTGTGTTTTATTTACCACCCCAACCAGGACCATTTATTGCATAGGGAGGAAAAAGCCCTTTACTTAGACACTTGAGAAGGACACAGTGTGAGCCAACACCACCCAGCCCCACCATGCAGGGTTACACAGAAAAATATATGACGTTTGTCTTTCTTAGAAGCTTGCTTTGCAACAGATACGTTAGAGTAAGTTAACAGAAAACTCTATCCCCCTCCCCCACCTCGCCCCCCTCACAAACAAGCATCACTATTACCCACCTCATCCTCAGCCTGCCAAACATATTTGGAAGCAGATTGCCTCCTACATTTTGTGGTTGGATAGGGTGTCAAATCAACATAAGCCTATTGACGACAATTTCCAAGCCTCTAACTTTCTGGACTGATTGTATTGCTGTTTTTACGTTACTCTAACCTCCTGGATTGCAGCCTGCTTAAAGCCTCAGATATGATGCCTGCCTGGCAAGAATTGCTTCTATATATAGACTGGTTCTATGAGGGCTTAAACCCCAACACACAGCCCAATTGTCTTCATGTGTGGCTGATTCTGCAGTTGATGTGTCATCTGCACAATCAAGTGGTTGGAAGGCAAACAAAAACATTTATTCTAATACTCCGAAGGTGAGCAGCTGCTTTTCTCTTTCATCCAAAATATTCCTGATAAAAGGAAGAAATGCTGTAAATTACACAAAATGGCAGTACAAACTTCAAAGAAAATGATAAATGATTCTAATAACTTCATGTTTCTCATTAATGGCCCCATGTTCAGACTTTAAAGCATCTGCAAGAGATCTCAAAACAAAACAAACAAACAAAAAAAAACGGGAAAGACCTTTGCAAACCAATGCTCTTCCATCCCTATCCCACCCACTCCCCACTCGCCCTCACTGAGCGCCCCCACCAGAAGTCAGAGAGCACAACACTTAACCCAGTGGTAACAGAGACAGACTGCTCCAGGCTGTGGTTTCACGATGAAACAAACTCAGCTGATGCACCTAAAGTAACCCTCATTTTCCACTGAACTGACATGCACCACAGGGACCTCAATTTCTGTATTAAATATTAAATAATATTAAAAGAAAAACAAAATTGGATTTGCCTTTTCAGGAAAGAGATGTTTATTAAAAAAAAGAAAGTCAAGATTATAATTCAAGTCAGTGCTCCACTGCAATTCCCTGAAGTGACATTGCTAGGAAAAGCCAAGACTCCAGGAGCTGAGAGCCCTCCCAGAGCTGGTGCTCCAAGCCCAGCGCTGCAAGGCTCCTGCAGGGAGGCCAAGAGCACGGGTGCCAGAACCCAGGTCCCTCCCGCTCCCAATGGCCAGCAAGCCAACTTGCTTTCCTTCCACAACTACTGTTGGGACCGGTTAGATGCTCACCCTCATCCCCATCAGAGATGGTGCCAGGCTGACCTGACCCTGGAACAGCCCGAATTTTTAAAAGTGAAGTTTAAATCTGTAAAAGGGCTTTTCTTCCCCAGATGCCAATCAAACCTTGGAATTCTCTGCCCAGGAAAGGTCCTGCCAGAACCCACCCCATTGGGATTCAACTCGGAAATGGATAATTACTGACTGAAGCAGCATTCTAGAGAATAATGGAGATGGGTGATTAACCTCAGAGATTCTGGGTTTAAGTATGGGGTAAACTCATGTGGTTCTCTTTAGAGGACAAAGGGCAAGGATAGCCTCTCAAGATGCCAGATGCCTAAAATTCTAAAAACTCTAACCCAAATTAGGGGTCATGAAGGAATTATATCCACTGTACCAATAGTCATTGTCAGGTCCCTGCTCACGTGCTGCCCTCTCAGAGACACTCTGACATTCGTGTTGTTTAAGATCGCAGTCCAGCTCACACCAACCCTGGCGTTCCTCACCCCGGCTCCCTGCTTCATTCATTACTCTCTATGGCGCTTGCCATCTGACAACCTACCGATTTCATTTTCCCATTTGCTAATTGTCTGCCTTCCCTCCACTAGAATTTAAGCTTTTCGAAGGCAGGGATTTTGTCTCTTCAGTTCTCTGCTAAATCCCTGATGGGGGTGGGGGGACAGGGCACAGTGTGTATAATGGTTCTTGGATGAATTAATCAGTTGAATTTTTTTCCTAAAGGAGCAACAAATATTAATTGCAAAAAACAGTTTTCTCTCTACAGTAATTATTAGCCAAGTAACTCAAAAGAAGTATTATTTGGTCCAGAGTTTCTCTCTCTCTCCCTTTTTTTTTTTTTTGCTCCCTCTCCCAGTCAAGGATTTATTAAAATTAAACAGATTAGATGGAGCTCCTGATACTAAAACTGCTCAGCAAAGCCTGCGGTGGGGAAGTGCCGAGCAAACACCAGAGACATTTGTCTCTAAATTGCTCTAAATACCTTCTGCAAATGAAATTCTAACCCAGCTGCGTTTGAGAGAAAATGAGGACTAACTGGTCATTGTCGGTGGAAGAGAAGATCAGGCAGTTATAATATTGCACAATATACTGGAGCTAAGGATCTCTCGGCAACCATAGATTTTGTCTCAGGTTACCCCGGGTAATCAGCTCAGCTTTTAGGCTCAGCTTTCCCCAGCTTCACTGCTTTGATGAGAGAGCTGAAATCCCTAAGCTTTTATGATTAATTACTCCCCATAGGTACACATATTTCAAGGAAAAACTCTTTTATGGCATGATGCTTGCAGAGTGGCGAGGCCAGCCAACACACTCCAAATTTTAATAATCTCCTAATGATGGGGGGGCCAGCACAATGCAGCCAGCCAGCAGGCGTGCAGTGCTCCTCACCAACTCTGTCACAGGGACCTCACAGGGACCCAGCCTTGGGGCTGCCGCGAAGCAGCTGCCTGTGGTGAAATGTTTGGGCTTATTTTGCCCAAACCCTGTGAGTGCAGCCTAGGGACATGATCATGTGAAGGGACCAATGGTTCCTGCTGCATCCCTTCAGTGGGACATCACGGAACAGAGCTAGGAAATGCCACCCACCCATTTCAGCCAAAAATGACTGAAGGCTCAAAACCCAGAATTTCAAGGCTGGCATTCCAGCTTCTTAAGGAAAAAGAGTTTTGCTTTGGGAGGAAGAAAGCTCACTTTTGCCCCTCATGGTATATAAGGACCTTTAAGTAACTTCCTAGATTTCTAGAAAATTAAATGTACAAAAAGTGAAAAGTCTGGTTTCTTTTTTGTTTTCATTTTACAAAAAAGAATAATACCCTAAATTCAACAGAACCAGAATAGATTCTGTCTCTTTAGACAATACTGAATTTGTCAGGGTCCATTTCATCCCTGCTTACAGAAATACCATAAAACCACTAATTTAGCACTTCAATCTGTAAATCAGACTGACCCCAAGCTTGCCTTTAACCTGACCTTGTTTAGTCATCTCATTTCCCTCGTCCTTCATTTCTTTCTTCCTCATTCTCTATTGAAGCAGCTGAACTCCTAACCTAAGCTAGTCATCCTGTAGCCAGGGTCACTGACGCAGAGCAGGCCAAAACGCAGAAGTCCTCCACAGTCTCATCCAATGGGCCGATTCTGCTACTGAATGCTGCCTTTGCATGATGAACTAGACTGAGTCCTCTGTGCTTAATTACCCGAATCGTGTCATCTTGCTGCTCCATTGTCAGGAAAGAAATCTATGTGCCCCATTGAGGGTGCTCGCCTCAGCCCCACTGTCCCATGAGTGGGCAGCTCTAGGAGGTCCTGGCAGCTCAGCACCTGCCTTGCACCATGGCTTCCATCTACCCCAGCCCCAGTCCCTCTGCAGGCCATGCTGCACAGCCCTGGGGAACCTGTACCTTTCTTCTTAAGGAATGCTCTCCTGGTTGCAAGTGGGCTCTGGCGGACCCGGGAATTCTGAAGAAACTTCACTGCCGTAGCAATCTGGTAAGACAGAGAAAACAGAGAAGTCAACTTCACTTCAATAGTCTGAATTTCAAGATTTAAAATCCTAGGAGTTTTTCCTAGCTCTACAGAGACAAGCATACTACTGTGGTCAAATTTATAACCAGTTATTTCTTAAGCTTAAAATCTACCTAAATGAAAGGCGATGTTGTTTCCCTGTCTTCACTGGCTTCCTGTATCTGAGTCTGTCAAATCTAATCCCTCTGCCGAGCTTCAGGCTTGCGATGATCCTTCCTGTTCCTCCTGATCTCCATTCGAGCTGATTCCTCACACTCCCCAGCAGGTGTGGCCATGTGCATCCATGTCGCCGCCCTTGTGCCCTGTATGCTCTTTCTGGAAGGCCTCCCTTTCCCTGCCTCCACCTGTCTAAACATTACCCCACGTGCACATGTACATACACACAAGCTCTCTTATCAGCACAGCCCTTTAATAGTCTATTCTGACTCCTCAAAGCCTTGCCTAAATAACCAAGCCATCTCTGATCTCCCTATTCTCTTAAATTCTTCAATGCCTATAGTGTGTACCATATAACTGAAGACAGCATTACACCCTCTTCTAATATTCAGGCTGCCTCCCCAACGACACTGCAAGCAACTGCAGGGGAGAAGCCACGCTGTCTACAGAACCTGGCAAAGTGCTGAGGGCGTCCCGGCTAGGAGGGATTATGTGGAAGACAACGCCCACTGCCATTCACACTGGCCCTGCTTCTGCACTGGAGCTGAGTTCTGAAGAGCCTTCAAAGGGTAAAGTTTGGAGTTTCATGGCTAAAAGCTGACAGATTGACAGATTGTCTATCTGCCTCTGGTAATGAATATTATTTAATGAAATCTTCCTATCTACAAATAAGCCAGGCAGGGGATGGAAGGGGCACTGCTGCAGGTATTAACCTTCACATCACTCAGCGCACGCAACGTGTGTGTTTACGCATGGCTCATCTACTTCCCACCCCAGACACCAGCCCTGTGGGTGGGAAACGCCCACCTGCCCCAGGTAGGAAAGGGGCTGTTTTAAATGACTGGTATTTGCCTCATCAAAACCAAAGGAATAATATGGTCTCATGTTACAGATAAAGTCAACAGGCCCTGCAGCGCACGCATAAGCTGTTGAAGAAAAAATGTCTAAGGGGCTAGATGTAAGAAAGTTTTCTAAGATCCTTCAAACTAAGGGAAGCAGTCGTACAGAGACTCAGAACGTCCAATGACTGTAAGTTAAATTCAAGTTACAAATCATCTCCTTCCCATATTTATATGAATGAAATTCTGAGACCAGACAGACTTTTTGGGAACAAAAGACATGAGGATAAATCAAAGAAAAAAGCCAGGGAAAATCCTGTATTCATTTTCCCTGTCACCCCTCTGTGGGAGGCTTACCCTAGACATTCCCCCTAAAGGATGAACTCAGTATCCTCACTTTTCAGACCTGGGCCTGTCACTGACAGGACATACTAGTGTTCCTTGAGAGCCAAGCCCAGCTCCACACAGGTTATAATTTGCCCTCCAACACTGCAAACAATACTAACCACCATCATGAACAGCAGTAATGGACCAGTTCTGGTCTAAAGAAAAATCAACGCTCGATATTCTAGAGCCCCCCAACAGTATACTCACCCCCTAAGCCCCTCAACCAGATCTCCTCAGGCCACACCAAAATCAAGAGAAATCGAACAAACATCTGCAACACTGATGCGTTTTAATGAAGAGATGGGAGAAGGGAAGAAGGAAAAAAAGAAGAGAAAAAAAGCAAAGGGGATGGGTAGAGGAGGGAGAGGGAGGTAAGAAGAAGACCGCAGTACATGAAGAGCTATAACAGAAGAGAGGGGGAAAAAGGAAAGAGGAGAAATGGGAGACAAGGAGAAAAACAAAAAGAAGTGAGGCCCCTGCTCTGGGAAGAGAATGAACAGGTACCCGGTCACCACTGGCCCCCGGGGTCAGCACCAGCTCAGATGGCATGGGGATAGCTGTTCTTCACCTGGAGAAAAAAATACACCTTCACACAAGAAAATTACAGTATTCGTATCATGCGGTAGTCTGCATGCTGTGTGTGATACATGTACCAGGTGTCAGCGGAAATGTGGATGAACAGGTCTTAAGCAGAAGATGCTAACAGCACAGCTCCTATCATTTACCCACAGAAACAGAAACCCTTCCTTCATCCTTCCAAAATTTTCCATGACAGAGAAAGAAAACAGGATCCCACCACTGGAACACACAGGTTTCACCTTGCTTTTTTAATCTAGTCCTTGGTATATGCATTTCTGGTCAGAGAGCAAAGTTCTGATGGGTTTAATGGTGCACTCAATGCAGTGCTTGGCGCATTCCATCAATTTTTTTTAAAAATTGCATCTCTTATTTCTTTAAATACATTAATCAGCCTAGTGTAGGCAAAACGGATCCATCGGACAATGCAATAAACATGAATTATCATCTATCCAACACGCATAATGGCTTAAAAATACATAATAGCAGGTGTAGTTTAAATGATTAGTTATTACACCTGTGGTGGGTCTGATTCAATTGGGAAAAATCATCTTTAATAGGTTAAAAGGTTTAGATCACCATGCTTTCCTTAAAGTGGCTGCAGAGAGGGAATGATGGAGTGCTCTGTCATTAGTAATTCATTTAAGAAGAACGTGGGGGATATAGCAAAGAACAGCATAAACGAGTGAATCCAATTTAAACATCAGGTAAAGTAGAAAACACCTTTTAAAAAAGCAAGATAAATGAATTTGGAAGGGAGATGAAATTGACGTATTTATTTTAACGGGAATTTGACAAAGTCCCGGCACACTTCAAACTTGCAAAAATATGAACAATTTCTTTTAAAGTTTCCATGCACTAATTTCAAGTCATATAAAATAATACTGCCAAACACCTACATAAAGTATATTTGGGGCTTGTTTATGTTCCTCTTGATCTCTGTCTGAAAATGCAGGCGACAGGCAAATCACATATTTAACAGCATCGGCATCACTACACTAGATGCAAAAATATAAAGCACCCAGATAGCCCCAGACTAATGTGCTGAATAAGAAAGCTGCCCTGATAAGCGGCTACATGTGTGAACCTCTCTCCTCCTTTCACTAATCATTTCTTCAGTTACTCTTTATTCTTCACCTCCCTCCCCACAGGGAACTGGCACTCCAAAATGGGGGGAAGGACCTGTCCAATTTTATAGCCTCATGATTCATACATCGATGGGAGAAGATTTTGAAACTCTTCACCCATAATGCTAACATCTTCACATACTAAATAACTGACAGGGCGCTCGGTTTGTGCCTTTCACCCACCTATTGTTGGGCCCTTTTCATTAACTTCATGAAGCAATTCAACTGACTTTCCTCTGCAGAGGCCCAACACACACAACACGCTTTTGTTGGATTCAATGATGGGGTGCCTGCAGCCTGTCCGGTATTATCGTTTGATTTTCTAATTAGAAGATGAATGTGACTATTCATGGGTTATATTTGTGCCCAAGTAAATTACATAAATTCAGGCCAAATCTTCCGCCTCAATGTCAAAGATGTAAAACGGAGACAGGAACTTTATTGCACATGTTGTGGGAGTGCAGCAAGCCAGGGAGAATTCTGGCGCTAAGCTCCCGATGCTGCTGTCGAAGCCCCTTGCTGGTGAGCCTGTGATAAATATGGAATCAGCGTTCCTTTCCCTTCCTCTTGCACTGAGTTCTTAATGAGTGCACCTCGAAATACCAATAGCTAGTTTGATAAAAATAAAGACAAACTCTGAAGAAAACAGACCAAAGTTTCTCTCCCTGACCCCCTTCTGTCCTCTTCTCCACCCAAAGCAAAATAAAACAACCCTGCCACCATGAACTCCACAATTTTAGGAAAATTTCATAATTTTCACTATGTGTCACTTAAAGTTAGAGGTAAAACTGAGGTGTGAGGAAGAGGAGTAAATTCTGGTCTTTGCTGTCTCATAACAGTGGTTACACTGGAGTCACTGCCAGCAACTTGGAAAAAGGTCGGGGGGAACTTCAGGTTGAAAAACACCTTTGGATCCAAGATGACTGGCCAATTGAGAGAGATCTGTATTTGAGAGAGCAGGATTTGTAACTGTATAAATCAATGGAATACAGTATACTCAGGGGTTATCTACTATGAACTATGTGCTGTTAAATGCATTGTGTAGGGTAAGTAATCCCTGGTGAGAAGAATCGAGGTTCCTGACAGTCCTCACCGAAGAGATGCTTCCTATGTGTTTTCCACTCTCCTACAAAAGACCTACCTGCACATTGTAATCTCCAGACTGCACACTTTATTTTCTGCACAAGGGGGACAGGAGAACAGAGCCTGCCTAATAATGAACCCGGGGTTTGAGGGAGCCTTAGCACTTTGCACCTGACATGTAAACCTGATGCATTGTCTCCTGTGACACTTATTTGGAATGCCACCAATTCCAGCACTCCTGTGTACTATATACACATCTATCTCCTAAAATGTGAGCATTCATTAGCCATTTTAAAATATTAAAAATATTCAAAAATTAATGACACCACCAAAGCCAAGTTTTTTTTAACCCAGAGAGATTACAACTAGAGGGCAAAAGAAAATGACCAATATAATCTACGGGCCGAAACCCCATTCCAGCGCCGCACTGCTCCACGTGCACAGCTCGGAAGATTAAATTGCCTGTGAAAGGTTCCTACGTTCATACTCTAAACTAGATACCCAGAATCCTGTTAACAAGCGTTAGACCAAAGCCAACTCGAGCTTTAACAAGGACTGACTTAAAAAGCCAGGCACTGCCAAGAATGAGAACCCTCTTCAAACAGAAATGCTGCATTTTAGTAAGAAATCAGTACTCTGTCAGGAGTTCCTTGACAAATATGGTCATCTGCGGCACAAGGAAATAGTTGCAAAGCAGCTGTTAATCAGAGAAACACATCGTAGAACGCTGATGCTAGCACTCGTGAAAAAATGCAACGGGCTAATTATGAAGCTATATATCTCACTAAAGAGA